CAACATACTGATCACGACCGAACGAGAGGCTATCGGGACGAAATACTGGCTGCCACAGATCGCATGACATCTACAGATATGCACCCGAGTCAACGACATACGTCCGACGAATACGCTGAGCTTCAGAAGTGGAAAGCTCCACCGGCTCATGAGCTAGGACCCTTCTAATCTGTTCGCAATATTGGTCGTTGGTCTGAGCCGTCAACACTTGCTCCTCGACACTGACAACATTACTGTCTTCGACGTTCTCAACAGGACCATCTTTAGCATTCAACATCATAGCGTCGAGCGAGCCGTTACCGAGATCGTCATCAGCATTCGGAGATACCAAGCGCTCTCGCATACCATCGAACTCCTTCACGTATGTCGATATCGCGGCTCGATAGAGGCCCGAATCATACGAATTCGGGTACAGCGCTCGAGATGCACAGTCAGAAGGATTACCAGCTCCTCGAACATGCCCTAGAACCACCGGTACTGTGCTGAGCCACTGTCTCATAAATGATATAGTACGGACAGCCGTACACAGCAACTGCCTACCTGCCATGGCTTCCTCAAGCCTCAACCCCATCGGGTCAAAGTGAGAGTAATCCGCGTTTCTTACTTACTTCTGGGCTCGGTCGAGGCTGATTGGGCTTCGAACTCCTCCCAGGTAAGACCCGTCTTTTGTTTGAAGGATGGAGCTCGACAGTCCATATGATTTGCTCACGATTAACCAGCGAGGATAAGAACGATCGGTATGCCACAGACAGTTGCTTCGCAGTCGCCACGGTTCAGCCCAGTTCTCGGCGAAAGAAACCGCGTACGCGGTTCCTGCGATAAGGCTCCCCAACAACGCTGACGGACGTGCCTCTCTGCGATACGGTCTTCAATGGATGCTCCTGAGGGCTCCGACTCCTCACTTCGACCCAAAAGAAGTGGATTGTCCATCGCTTGTGGTTTAAATCGTCTTTGCTTTCCCATTTGACCAATGGCTGACATCACATCATGTCCCCACTCCCACAACGAAGCGGAACTCATGTCGAAACGCACAGCTGACAGTTACTTTCAGGTAGGAGGGTCGTCCAACGATGAAGTAATGAAGATTGTTACTCGAGAGCAGAAGAAACAGGAGAGACACTAGCAATGCTTACAACCATTTCTTCGATGAGATTTCGAGGGTGCTACTTGCAACTTGCCAGTGAGGAAGTTGCACAAAATAACGGGGCGGAATCCTCTCCCCAAAGCACGGGACTTCCCTGCTCGACCAAAAAACGGAATGGTGATATAGTTTCACGCCTGTGTCTGCCACGCACCTACCAGAAAACTTTGACAGAAAAAACTGTGGATGTTTCGGAGTTCAATAAGAGTTCTTCACTGAACACAGCATGGCACGCTGAAGTCGTCCCTCGCTTTTGCAAGGTGCCCTTCAGAGTCTGAAGTTCAGACGAAAAATTTCCCGTGCAAACTAGTACTCGCCAATGGCGAGTCGCCATCAGCGGCACCAGTTCGCGGCAGCTCTTCAAGTCGAGGAGCTTCACCACAGTGCTGGCAGCAGTCATCATGGACATACCCCTGCGACTTCGCCGGAATGGCCGAAGTCGAAATTCCCGCCATAGCAGAGGCTGCTCGAGCGCCTGAAAGAACGATAAATTATAAAACTCCAGAATCTCGTGCCGTATGGAGATTCCGAAAGACATGCAATAGGTGCTAATCTCTGGAGGTTGAATATTTTCTGTGAGCACGCGACACCAATAGAGCATCCTCGAATAGCCACAGTATAACACTGTGGCTGTTTGATGCGGGGCTCAAAGAGAGGTAGAATCAAACTGCGGAGAACTTCTCTCAGAGAAGTTTAATGATAATGTGCACTACAGCTTACTACTCTAAGCTGAGTGTAGCACGTATGCTCATGGACGCGAGGGCGAGACGCATAGTGAGTTAAGACGGTTATCTGATACTAAAGGTACGCAGTAGCAGTGAAGGTTAGTGCAGTAACGGCGACGTAGTATTGGACCATGCTGTAGCTTTCAGACAGCACAACTACGACACAACTACAACTACAAAAACGTCACTATGTTGTCACTATAGTGCACGACTCGTATGAGTGCCATATGCATGCATGCAAGTGCAAGGTGCGAGATGGGAGCAATGGTTGCAATTTGAGCACTACATGCTGGCGAACGTTCTGTAGGATGTACTACGCCCTCGATGGTAGTTGTTGACAGTATTTGTGCGATAATGACTGCAGATCCTGCATTGTTAGTTGACGATATTCGTGAAGCAGCTTCCGCCGATTCGGTGGTAATTGTTGATGGCAGGTTTGTGGTGCCGGCTGCAGGATCAGCGAGACATATCGATGACAGATGTATAGTTGTTGCTGAAGGCCCAGCAGTAGTTTTTGATGCCAGTGATGCAGTAGCTATCACCGGATCCAGTGGTGTCATGTGACGTCGATACACTCACCAATAATGGCACCTAATAGGTGAGGACCTGGTGATCAACTCTGCATTTGGTGAGCGCCGAAAACATTAACACAGCTTTTGATACCACCAGCACCGACCGTGATGACCCCAACACTGTTGGGCCAACAGTAGGAGGTGTATCATCCAAGGCTCGCTGATTGACGCAACTGATGAATGAGTGAGAATAACTAGACCCAGCATATCGAGGATCGAGAATCCTAGGATAGTGAAGCAGACGCCGGTAAAAGTGTCAGCCAGAACACCTCCCAGGAGTGGCGTTACATACAGTACAGCAACTGGAGAACCTCGACTCCCTGTAAGCTCCATTATGGACGGATTTTACTTCACGTTATGATGATGAAGGAATTTGATTCAGAGTATTCATAATGAGTGATTGTAATCTGACTAAGTACGACGTAACTTTTCAACCATCTGTTGTGTTGAAAACCCCGTTAATGTCACGAAAGAGGCTTAACGTGGTCGATAAGCCCATACCACAATTAACCGATACACGCTAAGACTTCTGCAGAATAACAGACTGCGATTAGATATGGCGAGGTGAGTGATAGCCACATGTGCAGCAGTA